TGCCTACAGGGCCTCCGTTCTGTTCCATTGGTCTGTCTCTCTGTTTTGGTACCAGTACCGTGCTGTTTTGATTACTGTAGCCTTGTAGTATACTTTGACGTTAGGCAGCGTGATGCCTCTGGCTTTGTTCTTTTTGCTTAGAATTGTCTTGGCTATGCCAGCTCTCTTTTGGTTCCATATGAAGTGGTTTTTTCCAGTTATTTGAAGAAGGTCATTGGTAACTTAATGGGGTTAGTGTTGAATCTATAAAGTACTTTGGGCAGTATGGCCATTTTCACGATATTGATTCTTCCTAACCATGAGCATGGAATTTTTCTCCATCTGTTTGTGTCCTCTCTTATTTCCTCGAGCAGTGGTTTGTAGTTCTCCTTGAAGAGGTCCTTTACATCCTTTGTTAGTTGTATTCCTAGGTATTTTATTCTTTTTGTAGCAATCATGAATGGGAGTTTGCTCATGATTTGGCTCTCTGTTAGTCTGTTATTGGTGTATAGAAATGCTTGTGATTTCTGCACATTGATTTTGTATCCTGAGATTTTGCTGAAGTTGCTTATCAGTTTAAGGAGATTTTGGGCTGAGATGATAGGGTCTTCTAAATATACAATCATGTCGTCTGCAAACAGAGACATTTTGACTTCCTCCTTTCCTAATTGAATACCCTTTATTTATTTATTTATTTATTTTCTTGCCTAATTGCTCTGGATAGAACTTCCAGTACTATATTGAATAAGACTGGTGAGAGAGGGCATCTTTGTCTAGTGCCAGATTTAAAGGGAATGCTTCCAGTTTTTGGCTATTCAGTATGATATTGGCTGTAGGTTTGTCGTAAATAGCTTTTATTGTTTTGAGGTATGTTCTTTTGATACCTAGTTTATTGAGACAGTTTGTAGTTTTACTAGAGAAATTTTAGTTTCTCTGATTTTTTTTTTTTTCTTTTGAGACGGAATCTTGTTCTGTTGCCCAGGCTGTAGTGCAGTGGTGCTATCTTGGCTCAGTGCAATACCACCTCTTAGGGTCAAGCCATTCTTGTGCTGCAGCATCCCTGGTATCTGGGATGACAGGCATGTGCCACCACACCTAGCTAATTTTTGTATTTTTAAAGACAGGGTTTCACCATGTTGGCCAGACTTGCGGTCTCAAACTCTTTGAATGATCCACCCAACTTGGCCTCCTAAAGTGCTGGGATTGGGAACGTGAGCCACTGTGTCCATTTCTGTGATTTTTATGGGATACTTAGGGAGATTCACAGCTGCATTTTAGCCCCTTCCATCTTCTAAAATCCCCATTTTTGGCCCTTCGGGTTTTGTTTTCCTTCATAATCTTTATAATTAACATTATGGAGTTCTGTAGTTTCTGTTTTGCCCCCTACTTTACACTCTAAAAATGGCACCCCATTTTGCTTAGTATTTCTTTACTATCAAATTAATCATTTATTGTTAACTGACTTAGCAAACTTGGGCACGCCACTTGGCCTCTTTCCACCTTTAGTTATACCATGTTAAAAATCAGAAAGTTGTATTTGGGTTTGTTTTTTTCACAGAGGAACCTTGCTAGGTTTCTCTGTTAGCATTAGCAGGGTTTAACATCAACAGTAAGTATGTGCATGATGATGAAATACAGAATGCTGTGTTTGAACAGAGTAGAGATGAACTTCTAGCCAGTGGAACTTAACTCATTCACAGAGAAATGTAAATGTGATCTTCTCAAAGAGTGTTTTTTCTCATGGGATTTTTCTGTTTGTGTTCTGTTATCCCGTCAATTGTGTAGCTGAGGGTGTTATCTTACTGAGTTGGTCTTACTGTGTTTTCTCCAGGTTTTATAGTTTTTTTCTTGTTTCTGAACAATCAGCAGTTGTTTGCCATTATTCACTAGAAGTCCAGGGCATAGATTTTCTTGATCTGTTTTTCTTTTAATGTTTGAGTTCAGTATATAAGGGAAATGGTTATATGCATTTTATTGCAGACATTCTCTGAAATAATTTTTAGCCACAAGGAAATAGCTCTATTTATGTGAGTCATCATTTCTTCTTATATAGTGCTGGGTGAAGAATTTAATTTTGTAGATAGACATTTATGAAGTCCAGAAAGAAAGCTGCAAAAATGGAAGTTTCCAAAGAATTTAAGATTTGCTGTAATAAATGGTATTATATATTGAAAATCAGAGTTTGAGATGCAAATATAGGTATCTGTGGTTGATAAAATTTTCCTAAAACATCATGATTTTCATTGGGAAGTAAGTTATTTATAGTCATTTCCAGGGATAAGCTCTTTATGTGTTTTTTCTTTTTTCTTTTTTCAGCTTCCAATAAAAACAGGACAACAGAACACACATACCAAAGTCAGTACTGAGCACAACAAGGAATGTTTAATCAATATTTCCAAATACAAGTTTTCTTTGGTTATAAGCGGCCTCACTACTATCTTAAAGAATGTTAACAATATGGTGAGTATTTGGGTTACTGTGTTTTGGGGAATTTGCTTTCTTTTGTTTTTGATTTAAAAGTTTAGAACAGCATATTTTGAAGTATGGAAAGTGATTTTCTGTGGACTTTGGATTTAACCACTAATCTTATTTTATTCATGAGCACAGGTAACTTTTTTTATTTTGATTTTTTTAGAATTTTTATCAGCTGGGTTTTAGATTCAATAAGCACAAGTAACCATAACTTTCATCTTGATTTTTTATTATTTCCCTTAGAAACATCTCTTATTTGTGACCCTATCTCCTTTTCCAGTATTTTTATTGAATTACGATTTCACACAGCTTTTGTGTCATACACGAATTGACCACGGTAATCTATTATACATATTTTTCTTTAGCATCTTATTTAAATTTAGATCATTGTCCCAATCTTAAGTAGATGATAAATAAAATATGATCTCATAGTCCTAAAATGTGGATTGATTTTTTATGAATATATTAATGTTTTTTCTTCCTTCTGTAACCTGTGACATTCTGTAGTAAAGAGCCTGTTGTTGAAACAGTTTTTATCAAATACCAATTTCATCAAATAATTCCATGTTAAAAGCTCATAATTTCTTTTTTCTTTCCATTTTCTAAAATGTATTGATATTTCCTAGACTTTAGAGTACTCCAACTGTTCTCCCTCTGTACCTTTGTACATATAACATCTTTCGTCTCTCTCAAGCTATCCCTTCCTTTCTGTCAATTCCTATTTAACATCTTCATTCTAAGCTATTCCAAACTAACATACTCATTTCATGGCAACTGATCTGGATTTTTCTTGGTTAACTCTGAACTGTCTGCTGGTCTTTAACATGTATGCATGCATTTCATTCATTCATTTATTTCCTGAATTCATTTACTTATGAATGAATGAATGATTGACAGGGTCTCATTCTGTCGCCCAGGCTGGAATGCAGTGGCGCAATCTCATTTCACGGCAACCTCCACCTCCCAAATTCAAGTGATTCTTTTGCCTCAGGCTTCTGGAGTTCAAGTGATTCTCCTGCCTCAGACTCCCCAGTAGCTGGGATTACAGGTGTGTGCAACCATGCCTGGCTAACTTTTTGTATTTTTAGTAGAGATGAGGTTTCACCATATTAGCTAGGCTGGTCTTGAACTTCTGACCTCAGGTGATCCACCCACCTTGGCCTCCCAGAGTGCTGGGATTACAGGTGTGAGCCACCTCACTCAGCATACATTTATAATCCAAATCTGTATTTGTTTGTATTGAGTTGTGAAGTAGCTTTTGGTTGTAGATTGTGAAGATGATTTCCCCTCCCTTTTTTTTTTGAGATGGTCCTTAGGTTTATTAGATAATGTTCTAGTATGACATTGAAAAGACGTGAAGTTACCTTTTTGCCTTATTCCCATATTTTAGATACTTTTTCTCTTGTTCTATTTTGACATATAATAATTGTACATGTTTATGGGTACATATTAATGTTTCAATACATATAATGTATAGTGATCCCACTAGGGTAATTAGCATATCCATCATCTCATCATTTATCATTTCTTTGTGTTGGGAATATTCAGTATTCTCCTGTTACTTGAAACTATATAATGTTAACTATAGTCATTCTACAGTAGTACAAAACCCTAAGACTTATTCTTCCTATCAAGTTGTATTTCTGTGGCCTTTAACATATCTCTCTCCACCCCCATTTCCCCTACCCTACCCATCCTCTAGTGTCCTCTCTTCACCTTTTTACTCTTTTTAGCTTCCACATATGAGTGAGAACATGTGGTGAATAACTCTTTGTTCACATCATCCTTGGTATGTTTCCTCTTAAGAAAGTTGCTTAGACAGTACCCTAAACTGACAAAACTAATAAACTGGAGGTGTAGAAAATCATTTACCTTCTTTAAAGAGAAAATTTATATTTTACCCCCGAAAGCAGGACCTTTTATAAATATGTAAAGAGATTTGTGTAGCTCCTCAGTTGCAGTGTGTGAGCACAGTTTAGGATTTTGCACATATGAGTATGTGGCTGTGTTCCTAGTTAGATTGAAATATTTTAATGTTTGGGACCCTCTTTTCAAAACAAAACAGTATTGATATATTGGCTTTCACTGAGTGCTAACTAAATAAATTTTCAAAACCACAGTCTCTTGTTAATACATATGTATTATCAATTTTGAGGATAGTGAGTACTTAAAATTCACTGTGGTGCTATAGCATTTTGTTGCTATAAGAATTGAGACTTTGAGGGCCCGGCGCAGTGGCTCACGCCTGTAGTCCCAGCACTTTGGGAGGCCGAGGTGGGCGGACCATGAGGTCAAGAGATGGAGACCACCCTGACCAACATGTTGAAACCCTGTCTGTACTAAAAAATACAAAAAAATTAGCCGGGCATGGTGGTGCTGCCTGTAGTCTCAGCTACTCAGGAGGCTGAGGCAGGAGAATTGCTTGAATCCTGAAAATGGAAGTTGCAGTGAGCCGGGATGGCACCATTGCACTCCAGCCTGATAGAGTGAGACTCTTTTTCAAAAAAAAAAAAAAAAAAAAAAATAGTTAAGACTTTTATTATTTTGTGGCATAAAAGAATAGTTAAATGCCCAATTCAGGATTCTGGTACAGATCTATATGTGTATCTAAATCATACATATTTTTAAAACATGAACCAAAACAACATCTTTTACTGTTACAAGGTTAATAATGGCAGACTAATAAATGCCATTTCGGTTTGCCTGAGAATTTAATTTTTATGAGGCTTAGGATAAAATCAGAAATAATAGATTTAAGTATAGTATAATCTGGGAGATAAAATAGAAGAATATTGTTGATCTTTAGTCTTTCAATTTTCAGATGTGTGTTGATTGGTAGCGGAGAGTGAAACTAACTTTTATGTTCTGAATGTCTTTTCTGTTAGAGAATATTTGGAGAAGCTGCTGAAAAAAATTTGTATCTCTCTCAGTTGATTATATTGGATACACTGGAAAAATGTCTTGCTGGGGTAAGTAAATGGATTCTCAAGTAGGCAGGCTTTGTGAATTCAATCTTGAGAATGATCTTATGTACCAAAGTACAGATGTGCACCAAGAGGACAGTCATATGGACTGTCTGTCTAAGACATACAAATACGAGTTTTATTAATAGAGCTGATCTGGTGATAATTTTTCGTGAGAAAATTATTCTCTCATCTTTTGTAAATTAAATAGATAATAATTTTACTTATAAAATGTTATGTTTCAGCCACATATCTGTCTCTCAGGTTTTTAAGAAAATGTTTTATGAAGAGATCACTATTTGATTTAACTGGTCTTTCAGAGAGGTGTGAGAGAATGTGATTCAGAAGACCAAGAATAATCTTGTATTCTCTCCTATATGAATGTGATTTTAATATTCTACTTCTCAAATTTATATAAATGAGAACTTAAAAATTAAGTCTATTGAGGATAGATATTACATTGAGAACACTTTTTTTTTTAAATTTTATTGCATTTTAGGTTTTGGGGTACATGTCAAGAACATGCAAGATTGTTGCATAGGCACACACGTGGCAGTGTGATCTGCTGCCTTCCTCCCCATCACCCACATCTAGCACTTCTCCCCATGCTATCTCTCCCCAACTCCCCTCCCCCCACTGTCCCTCCCCTATTTCCCCCCAACAGACCCAAGCGTGTAGTGCTCCCCTCCCTGTGTCCACGTGTTCTCATTGTTCAACACCCGCCTATGAGTGAGAACATGCGGTGTTTGATTTTCTGCTCTTGTGTCAGTTTGCTGAGAATGATGGTTTCCAGGTTCATCCATGTCCCTACAAAGGACACGAACTCATCATTTTTGATGGCTACATAATATTCCATGGTGTATATGTGCCACATTTTCCCTGTCCAGTCTATCATCGATGGACATTTGGGTTGTTTCCAGGTCTTTGCTATTGGAAACAGTGCTGCAATGAACATTCGTGTGCACGGAGAACACTTGTTTTATGTAGACACAAACATATGTGATAGGTATGTGGAGGAGGAGAGTACCAAACAGTTGTTTCTCGGGTTTCTTGTAAGTTGTTATCTCAGTGTATTTCAACCATGACTTAATTTAAACTTTTTCAAGAATATTTCTATTGTGTAAAGCAAAGTGTTTCTGTACGTCAGTAGCCTTAATTCTTCCTCGGACATGGCATAAAAGTTTATATAACTATATAAATTAAATACCTCCATTTTAATGATCTGCGTAGTCTGTGTGTATTGTAATCAACTCATTTCTTATGCTCTGTCTTCCTTTGGCTCAGAATTCAGAATTTTGTTTTTATTCAGAATTGCTTTCCTTCTTTACATATGTTGCAGTTCTCTATAGCAAAGCTAGTTGGAAGAGACCTTAATATATGGTGACTGATAGTCTGGTTGAGAATGTTTGTGGAAGCACTGGGATAGGGAATTGAAAAACTATATGTATATTGACCCAACTGTGTATCCCTAGGGAGGGCTGTAAGCCCAGAAAATCTAAGCATCACATATATATATTTTTTCTTTTGAGACAGAGTCTCACTCTGTGGTCCAAGCTGAAGTGCAGTGGTGCCATCTTGGCTTACTGCAACTTCTCCCTCCTGGATTCAAACTACTGTCATGCCTCAGCCTCCTGAGTAGCTAGGATTACAGGCTTGCACCAGCATGCCCAGCTATTTTTTTTTTTTTTTTGTATTTTCAGTAGCCATGGGGTTTCACTATGTTGGCCACGCTAGTTTTGAACTCCTGTCCTCAAGTGATCCACCCACTTCGGCCTCCCAAAATGCTGGGATTACAGATGTGAACCACCATGCCTGGCCTAAGCATAATATTTTAAATTCTCTTATTGGCCCTTGACCATATTCCAGAATTGTGGAGACAGTGTTTATAAGTTTTCTACTTAAAATTGAAGGTCAGCTAGTTGTTTTAGCATGATATTTTCTGTTAACTTGTGATATGCTATTTATGTGTAAAATGGAGCAAAAGAGCAAAATAGCTGTTACATAGGATGATGGGATTGGGAAGGTGGGCAAATTTTAAACTCTTCTTGAATCAGTCTTTTCCAGTGGTCTTATTACTTTGACTGTAAATTACCAGTAAATCAGCCACACACATGATTAAATGGTAGGGCATAGGGTGGTTTATTGCCTTGTTCAGTTTTACAGCTTTTCTCCATTAACATTTGTAATTGTGAGGTAATGATAAATGTATTTGGAGAATGATTAGTGATATTATTGGCTTCTGTTAGATTTAATACTCTTTGAGGATAGCCTAATTGAAATGCTAATAAGTGAGCCTGGTATACCTTATTTAATGCATTAAATGTATATTACCTTGCCCTGCTCTATTACTGAAAAATATGTATGCTTTTTCACTAAATTTACTGTTTAAAAATAATGCTATTTATATTATTGAACAATGGTGTTTTCTTCATTTCCTTCAATGATTTTACAGATGTTTCTTGATTCTTAGTTTTAAATCAGAGTAAATTGAGGCAGTTTAAGAAAAACTGAGTCCACAAGTACATGTTTGTCATATACATAGTTGCAGTAGTTAAATGAAAGAAAACTCTTACCAATATCTTAGGAGTGAAATTTTGTACAATTTGAGTTTCAATATCTGTATCATCTCGTTAGCTTATAAACAAGATAGGCATTGTAATGTGAAATTTACAGGTTTTTGTGAAATCTGTTTAGGTACTGTCCCTATGTTTCAGTGTATTTGCATCTGAAAGTGCTTGGATTGCAGTTACAGAATTGAGCGTAGCACACAATTGTATAAATTTTTGCTGTTTGCCATCTTGCTCAGTGTTATTAAACTTCTTATTCACATATAGATAATCAAGACGTTAGGTGAAATAGTAATGTGGAACAGCATGCCTGCAGGATGGCTTGTCTATTGATTGTTAACTGTATATTTTTACAAAGTAGAGATTTCGATGTTAATACCAAAGTTAATCAAACTTAGTGTCATTAATGGGACCACTTGGCGTTATGTGCTCATGGTATGATACAATATAAACTCTAGCGAATCCCCTAAACTGTTTAACTTGAATCTAATCAGGACATTAGATTTAAATTTTAGCTTACAGCAAATATATAGGCTAGGCGCCGTGACTCATGCCTGGAGTCTCATCACTTTGGGAGGCCAAGGCAGGTGGATCACTTGAGGCCAGGAGTCCAAGACCAGCCTGGCCAACATGGCGAAACCCCATCTCTGCTAAAAATACAAAAATTAGCCAGATGTGGTGGCATGTGCCTGTAGTCTCAGCTACTCGGGAGGCTGAGGCAGGAGAATCGCTTGGAACCAGGAGGCGGACGTTGCAGTGAGCCAAGGTCACGCCACTGCACTCCAGCCTGGACCTTAGAGCAAGACTCCGTCTCAAAAAAAATAAATAAGAAGAAAATATACAATATAGTAACTAGAAGAGCAAATCAACTTATGTCACTGGAAAATTAAATCAAGGATATGGAACATTCTGTAAGGGAGCTGGTTCACTTAAAGTCATGGCAAATAAGAGTGGTGAATATGGGCTGGGTGTGGTGGCTGATGCCTGTAATCCCAGCACTTTGAGAGGCCGAGGAGGGTGAATCACTTGAGATCAGGAGTTCGAGACCAACCTGGCCAACATGGCAAAACCCTGTCTCTACTAAAAGTACAAAAATTAGCTGGACGTGGTGGCAGGTACCTGTAATCCCAGCTTCTTGGGTGGCTGAGGCAGGAGGATCACTTGAACCTGGGAAACAGAGGTTGCAGTGAGCCAAGATCGCACCATTGCACAGAATAAAGAAACTAAGGAAACATAATCATGTTGCAATTAGTGAACTTTTTGGATCCTATTGAATAAAAAAGGCTATGTAAGACTTTTTGAGGGCAGTGGTAAAATTCGAATTCAGACTTGGTATTAGATGATACAAGGTAATTGTTTATTTTTGCTTGGTGTGTTAATTGTACTGAAGTTACATTAGAGAAAATTCTTATTTTTAAGAGATGCCGAGGCATATGGATTAAAGTATTAAGATATTTATAACTTACTTTGACAAGATTCAACCAAAATAAAATTACTTAGAATAAGTAGTGTCTGTTTTGTTTAGTCTGCACAAAAGTAAGTGTGATGGCTTACCCGGCAATTTACTTAAATATTAAGACAGATGGCACAATGCACTCATCAATCAACATGATTGTGGATTCTGTATTTGTAGAGCTCACAGCAAACTGGGGATTCCTAGGGAAGGGCTCATTTGATGAACAAGAGATCAAGCAGGAATGGGAGGACTAATAAGGATGGCAGGGGGATTGAACTTTAATTGTGATTATGGGATCAGAAATGGAACCATCATCTTTATCAGACTATCTGTAAACAGACGTAGCAAATATGATGAAATGCTAAGGGTTGTTAAATCTAGCTCGTGTGTATATAGGTGGTCATTATTTTATTTTCATTCTTATGTGTGTTTGAAAATTTTTGTAATAGAAAATGTTTACAGGTAAAATTAAGCATTTAGAATAATGTTGTTATTTCTATTTCAGCAACCAAAGGACACAATGAGATTAGATGAAACGATGCTGGTCAAACAGTTGCTGCCAGAAATCTGCCATTTTCTTCACACCTGTCGTGAAGGAAACCAGCATGCAGCTGAACTTCGGAATTCTGCCTCTGGAGTTTTATTTTCTCTCAGCTGCAACAACTTCAATGCAGTCTTTAGTCGCATTTCTACCAGGTTAGTGTGTAAATCCACATGGTATTACTGAAGTAATATGGATTTTAGAAGTTGTTTTTTGTCTACATAAAAATAAAAAGTTAACAGAAATGAGGTTTTTTTTTTTTTTGTTTGTGTTTTTCCATTTTTGAGACAAGTTCTGTTGCCCAGGCTGGAGCGCAGTGGTACGATCACAGCTGACGGCAGCTTCAGCCTCCCAGGCTTAGGTAATCCTCCTGTCTCAGCCTCTGGAGAATTGAGTTTGTCTGGGCTTTTGTAGAAATTTTATGCATTAAAATGTTTGACAGTTTAATTGTGTTATGTGATGTTGATGTGTGCAATTAAATAAAAAATCTCTCATGAGCAGGCTTTAAAAAACAATACTAGTTATAAACTTTGGTTTGGATTTTTAAACGTATTATCCCTTTAAATGAAACTACCCAGTCAGATGGAATAATTGATGAGAATAGTCAGAATTCAAATGCTCTCACAACTCTACCCTTTATCACAAGATTTTAGGTCACACACAAAAAAAACCCCCACCAAAATCCAATAAAACTTAAGTGATATGGAAGCACAGGGAAGTGAATAATTGCAAAGTAGAATTCTCCAGAAAGTGGACTGTGTTTTAAGTGTATGTAAAATACTGCCATTTATTATTTACAGCATTTCTTGTGCTGTCTTGTCCTCACAGTAACCCTGGTGATACTTCCCCCATTTTGCAGGTGAGCAAACTAATACCCAAAAATGTTAAGGTGTTGTGCCGAGTAATGGAGGACCCAAAATTTCTAAGTCAGGCTGGCTTCAGAATTTATAAGTTTCCTTATACCAGATTACTTCCCTGTCTATTTTAGCCACACTTTAATGAAATCCTTTTTGTCTTAAAAGATGTATTATAAATATAAGCTTTTATTGATTATTCAAAATCATCATGAGCATTAGTTGTGATATGCTACATACAGGTGGAGAAATTAGTATAGGTAGTGCCCTGTGGCATAGAAGTATAAGTGACAGTAGCGAGTAACTCTGCAAATTGTTTTCATGCAAATGATTTGCCCTTCTCAGGCAAGTAAAGTCAAATGGGTTATTAAGTTAATTAGAAACTATAGCACAAATTATTTAGTGATTTAGTAAATTGAAGACTAATATCAAATAGAGCAAAACAATCCTCTTTGTTGGTGTCCGCATCTTTGGCTCATCAGTGTGATACAAGCAGTGGACTTTCATTAGTCAGATTCGCTCATTCCTTTGTTGTTTTCCAGCAGGTGCGAATGACAACATACATCACCATTTGAGAATTTGTGTTACCTTTTTTGGGGAATTGACTAACTTCGAAGGCCTACAATCTTTTTAATCATCAGTGACATTTCTATAATTAAGATACTAGGCAGCAATATTTTTCAACCTCAACACAATTCTTGATCCAAAGAAAATTAAAGTTTTACTTAATGGTATATTATTGATAATCTTGGGTAATGTTTGTATGATAGAACAGTGTTTTCATGAAGTCTTTTGAGTAATAACATTTTATATTCTGAGTAATAATGCACTGGTTGAGTCAGCAAGGTAACAAATACCTAGAGAATAGGAGGATAGAAAATTGTATTTAATAAAAAATGCAAACCCTTTTCATTTAGGTGATGGATAGGCCAGTGTTACTATTTGAAACACCTGTTACATTGAAGGTAGCAAGTGATACCAAAAAAACCAAATGCCTTTTACTCTATAAATGCCTGAATTGCTTAATAGAACACAACAAATGTGCCACCTTGGAAAACTCTAGAAAATTTCTAGTCACCAAAGGTTTTACTTTATGGGATTTTACAGCATTAGCACATGTGAAAATAGGCAACTTTTGTTTATTTTCTGAATCTTGTTCACTGTTGCCAGAATAGAAGCTAAGTGTCTAAACTTTTACTAGCTTTCAGAGGACAGACTGCTCAGAAATGGCATCTGTGAAATTACATTGTTTCAGACAACTGCATTTGCAGTTTCATTTAGCTTGTGTCGGAAATAGGGAGGACCACTCATCTAAAAGATCATTATGATGGTTATATTTAGGTGGGAACATCTTATGACATTGCTGTCATAGTATTAGGTGACTTAAAATATGCAAGTGGCTTGAGTGGCAGTTCTTTCTAAAGATTGATTTTATATTTTACATACAATAGATGAATCAGTATCATGGAGATGTTTCATGTTTGTCCATTCTCCCCATCAGTGTTTCTCCTTTAAGATTAAGATTTGATTTTTATATGTCTGACTTTTACTTTTCTTTAGGGGAAGATAGACTATAGATTTATTATTATTATTTTTTGAGACACCATCTTCTCTGTGTCACCCAGGCTGGAGTGCAGTGGTGCAAACATGGCTCACTACAGCCTCAACCTCCTGGGCTCAAGTGATCCTCCCACCTCAGCCTCCTGAGTAGCCAGGACTACAGGCATGTGCCACCATGCCCGGCTAATTTAATTTTTTTTGTAGAGACAAAGTCTTGCCATGTTGCTCATGGTGGTCTTGAACCCCTGGGCTCAAGGGATCCTTCTGCCTTCATCTCTCAAAATGTTGGGATTACAGTGTTGACCTCTCAAAGTGTTAGGGTATGAGCCACCATGCCTGGCTATAAATCTTAAGGTAGCTTTATTTTTCTCCTGGAGTATACCATTTTCTGTGGCTCATAATAGGATTAGCTGATTTATCCACAAAATTACTCCGCAACTGCACTTGATCTAGTCGTTTTGTAGTGAGAAGGGGCTTCAGAATATCTAATTTGGTATACTATCAGAAGCAGAAAACTCAGTGACTTTCAAAGTCACTTGGTTCTTTACAATTTACTATTTTGTTCTGCACAAATCTGTGTGTTATTTCTTTCTTTCTTTTTTTAAAATGGTTTTCAGGTTTTTTGTATGTCTCTGATCATTTAAAACATATTTTACATTCTCTTATTGTTTAATATTGATTTGTTTGTGCCAACTCTCACTCATAGTGAATTTTTACATCTCAGTTTTGGAATCCTTGATTGCAAAGTTATCATTAGTGTGACCTGTATTTTCTTTTAGAATCTCTTGTAGCCTTGGGTTGTGGGAATGTTCTAGTGATGGTTTTGCATTTGCATTTGTCAGGTGTCCAGTTCTGGACCTATTTTTTTCTTAATTTCTGAGTCCCAGTCTGTACTGGTAGAATAAATTTGGACCCTAAACTCTTACAAGGTAAACAGCTCTAGATGACTTTTTTCACTTTATCCAAAGCTTAGGCAGAGCAAGTAAGCTTCTTTGTACAGATAGATTTTTTTCTTTTTCTTTTTTTTTGGGGGTGGGGCAAGGGGAATGCATTGTTCTTTCTAGTTCATGTTTTATGCAGGGCCCCAGATAGAATCCTGCATTATTAGGGATAAGGCTTTATATCCAGTCTCCATGTGGATGTTAAGCCCCAAGCTCCCAGGTTAGGGAGATCAAAAATCTCACTCATCTTTCCTTTGTTGCAGGGCCAGATCATGTACTCATGCACTTAACTCTCTGGTTTTTGGTTTCTTCTTCTTTTCTGGACCTATACATTTAAAATATCTTTCAGTATGCCTAGTCTTTCTCTTTTGTTTATTTATTTATTTTTTTGATACAGTCTTGTTCTGTCACCAGGCACCAGGCTGGAGTGCAGTGGCGTGATCTCTGCTCACTGTAACCTCCACCACCCGGGTTTAAGCAGTTCTCCTGCCTCAGCCTCCCAGGTAGCTGGGACTACAGGTGCCCGCCATCACGCCCAGCTAATTTTTGTATTTTAGTAGAGACGAGGTTTCACTGTGTTGGCCAGGATGGTCTCAATCTCTTGACCTTGTGATCTACCCGCCTCGGCCTCCCAAAGTGCTGGGATTACAGGCATGAACCACCGCGGCTGGCTCATGCATGCCTAGTCTTTCTAGATGTTTTAGTGATAGGCTTTCTGCTTTTTGTTTCTTTTGCTCAGACTACACTTTATTTGATTTCTCTGTTTTGGAAATGACATTTAACCGTCACAAAATACCTGCTCCCTATGAAGGTAACAGACTATAAAAGAGACAGAATTTTTCTTCCATTTTTCACAACCAACCACAAGAGTCAATTTTTTGGAAGTCGGTGTAACTGATCTATGACGTTGTGTTTTCTAAGGAGCCATACTCCATATTTTGCTCTTTGCAGCAGCTGTGGAATTTTTAGCATTGAGGACCACTTCATTGCCCCCTTGAACTGCTGAGCGTGTCTTACCCTGATGATAGGAAGAGTGTTCGTGTAAGTGTTCAGAATAGTTTTACTGTTAGCTGTAGGCTAATTAAAGCTAAAGTGAGTGAAAGGAGAATTGGAGAAGGAAGAATAGGATTGATTACCTTTTTATCAACTGAAGGTTTGGTTTGCTGATTAATACCTCAGCTGCAAATTGCACTAAATGATTGAAATTCAAGTTAATACTTATAAGACCATATAATATTTGTGCCTTTTTACTGTATCTGTATTGCTGCATTTATAAAAAGTTAGTCATTTAATTGTGCTGCTTATATTTTTGGTGTCCATTAATATGAATAATGAGTATGCCTCATCAGGTGACATAATTTAATAGGATAGCAGTACCAACTTTTGAAAATCTGACTGCTGTGGTTTTTAGTGTAAAATGGAAGAGAAGTTTAATTCCTTTTGTTAACATTTAGGCTAAGTCAAATTTTGTTATCAGTTTAAAAATATCTACATTTTCGCTAAGTGTTTTTTCTACATTTTGATAACTTCATATTCAACATAAGAGAAGTTTGGGTTTAAACAGATATTCCTGTCCATATAAGCTTACGTTCTGTGAAGGAGGAACATTAATCAAGTAATCACGTAAACACATGTACAAACTGTGAAAAGTGCAATGAAAAAAGGCTTACTCGGCTTTCGAATGCAAAGTAAATGTACCCTGTGAATATAAAGTTTCATTAATGTTTTGGAAATCTAGGTGATATAAGTAGAAGTTAGTAAAATTAAGCTTACTTACAATTTTACTTTTGATTCACAGTATAATTTTACTTATAATTTGAAATACGAATTTTTAAAACTGTTCATTGTGGAAAAATTTAAAAATACACATAGCAGAGAGAATAGTACTTCAAATCCCCATGCATCTCTTACTCTGCTTTAACTGTTTCCGACATGCTGTGGTTTCTCTTCCTCTCTTTTCAGTAATTTAAAGCAAACCCCAGATGTCATTTCACCTCTGTGTATTTCAATATGTATCTCTAATAAATAGATTTTTAAACATTTAACTATAATATTGTCATACCTATCAAAAATCATAATTTTTATTATCTATTGCCAAATTTGTGTTTAATCTTTTTTCGTTATCTCAGAAATGACTTTTTTATTAGTTTCGTTCAAATTAGGATACGAACAGGATGCATACTTCGGAATTGGTTGATATTTCTCCTGAGTGTCTGTTAATCTATCATTTCTTCATTTCTCCACCTTGTTCTCCATTTTTTCTCGTGCTGTTTATTTGTTGGACTGTATTATTTGCCTTATGAAACTTTCTACGTTCTGTATTTGGCTTTCACTCAATTCAGGTTCGTTTGGCTGGGGGGACAAGAATACTCTACTGATGATGCTGTCTGGTTCTGAATGCATCACATCAGGACACATGTCCTATTCTTGACTTTTAATGTTATGATCAGTGGTTCAATTTTGATGTCATCAGCATTATTCATTAATTATAGTTTCCTATAAATTTTACCTAATGTTTTTAGTAACCACTGATGATCAGTGCCTGGAATCTACTTCATTGGGGGCTGCAAAATGAAAAGCTTTCCATTCTGTCGTTCATTCTTCTTTTTAAAATTGTGATTTCTATGAAAGATTTTTGCTTCATTGTGTGTTTGGTCATCTTGCAATACAGTCCATTTAGGGAATGCAGGACAGAGAACTGACTTTGATTTTTCATTATCAGAATGAGTTGGTACTCTTAACAGTGCAGAAGGTTACCCATTAAGTTTTTTCTTTCAGCGTTACTACAGACTTGTGTATTTTAATTTATTGTATGTGTTCAATTATAGACATAATTCTTTTGGTCTTTAGATTATCCCATTTTTGACAGTTGGGAGGCCTAAAGTGCATAGTTATATGATATTTGACATGACTCTGATAGTTGTTTGATAGTTTCCTTGTTTTCAAGCCCAAGGTGTCCTGCCCTCACCTTGTATATCTCCTGCCCCCATCCTGGAATTAACTAATTTTCCCAAAGAACTCTGGCCAAAAGTTGGAAATATTAATTAGACACCTCAATCTTAAGGATAAGGATACTAAGATTACTGGATTATCATGGTTTCTTTTATCATATCCCTTAAGCTAGTTATGTTTCTTTAGATTTTTATAAGAAATATTTATTGCCTTATTTTTATATGTGTCTTTACTCTTAAGAACTCGTCTTTGGGGGAAGAATCTGTTGAGTTCAGAATTTAGAGAGACCCTAAGACTTTTTTTTTAAGAGACAGGGTTTCACTCTGCCTCAGGCTGGAGTGCAGTGGTGTGATCACAGCTCATTGCAGCTTGAAACTTCTAGGCTCAAGAGATCCTCCTCCCTTAGCCTCCTGAGTAGCTGGGCCTATAGTTGTGTGCCACCATGCCCAGCTAACTTGTATTTTTTTGTAGAGATGATGTCTTTCTATGTTACCCAGGCTCATCTTGAACTCCTAGCCTCAAGTGATCCTACTGCCTTGGCCTCCCAAAGTGCTGGAATTACAGGTGTGAGCCACCATACCTGGCCCCTAATACTTAATTTGATAAGTTATTTTTGGTTTTTACTTTTTAGGTTACAGGAATTAACTGTTTGTTCAGAAGACAATGTTGATGTCCATGATATAGAATTGTTACAGTATATCAATGTGGATTGTGCAAAGTTAAAACGACTCCTGAAGGGTAAGTTTAAATGTATAATACATCTGAAAAAAATCACTAGGTCAAAAACCAGTATCATGAATGTACTAATTATATTAATTGTGCTGAACTAGACCTCCAAACTGGATTTTATAATGACATGTCCTTGTGAAATAGCCAGTAATACATATGATTAACTAATTTTGAATCTTTGAAAATAATATAGTAGAGAAAATGAGCATTTTAAATCTTGGCAATGGAAAGTTTCACTTAACTACAATTTTTGTTTTCAATAAAGAGAATGCAAGGGTGCTGTTTCATTTTTCTGGAATTTCTCTGAAGGGTGGCTAAAGGTTATAGAAGCTATTTGTTTAGCTATTATAGTGCTTTGAAAGATCATCTGTAGTAGGATATCAGTTTCATTGCAGAATGGAACAAGGAGATTGTGATGTTATGGTGAGAGGATGAATTGAGCCAGGGATTTCATTTCTGACATTGCTGTTTTCAACTCTCTGACTGACTTTACAGCATTACAAAGTCCCTTGACCTTCCATTGCCTAGTTTTGTCTCCTTGTAGAACGTGTCAGTAGTAGTTCCACTTGGGGATGTTATAACAGCTAATATGCGACTTTAAAGCTTTGGAAAGTACTTTACATGATTATGTGGATTGAAATAAACTATCAAAGGAATTGAGAGATATTCTGTGGTAAGCAATGATGTGTTAATGTAAATCAAACATCAATGAGTATTCGTAAATTGAGTAGGAATACCTATTTTAGTTTTTGGCATTATTAGACCCTGGCTAATTTAGATATGAAACCTTATAGTATACAGTTTACATATATTTTTATTTGTGTCTTAAGGAATCTATTTGTAACTTAAGGAATTTTTATTTGTAACTTAAGGAATTGTCAAAGATATTTGTAATATCTGACCTAGAAAAGATTAAATTATATTGACCTCAAAAACATCAGTTTTGCAATGTAATTTTCAAAATACCTAGTTTTGTTTTCTTAATATTTGCTTTAAACTCAGTAACTGTCTCACCAGAGATGTAAAAAACTGATACCTAAATAAAGGAGTAATATAGAGCTGTGTTCTATTCATATTACCCTTATTCATAATTTCTGATTTTAGGTCATTACCACTGTGAAACCAAGCAACAGTTAAATCAGTGTTCAGTAACTTTAATAAAGGAAAAAATAGGGATGATTTTAGCTGTTATGCCAAGATACGAACATGTAGACAACAATTATTTTAGATTAGAATAAACAACCATTCAATTCATAGTTGAGATTTGCAAGATTTTAATATCTATTATTAAGTGTTGAGCAGTTGAGGAACTGAATGGTAAAATTTGGAGATCTCTATGAATTAAAGTTAAGAAGTATTAGTGAGATTTTATGATTTTTCATAACTGTTTAGTGATGTTTTAGAAATAAGTCCAGGTTGCCTGTGAATGAATAGTTGTTTAAAACAACAGTTTTCTTAGAAATGTTCAATCCATAATAATTAGTTGAAATAATTCTTCTGCTCAAATAAGATAAACTAATCGAATGTGTGGATAACGAATTTCTTTTTTACTGAATTAACTTTTTCCCATTGAATGCAGCTTCTTCATAAATATAAATTTAGAGTATATGCTGATAAATATATAAAGTATGAAACCAATATTAAATAGGCCAGCAAAAGATGGCTCTTGGTGACAGTGGTAAAAGGAATGGAAACTTTCAATAATAAGTAAAGGTAGTAATGTGTTTTAAATTCAATTCAACAAGTATTTGTTGAGAAACTATGTATAAGAAGCCATGCCAAATGCTGGGATTACAAAAATCAATAAAATACAGAGTCTGTCCCTAAGGACTAACAGGATGGTTTATGAGACAAATGATATCATTACCAAATTATTTGTGAAAAAAACTATGATAAACTCAAATAGGGTGAGTGTAAAGTGGGAGGGGAAGTATGTATTTGAGGGGATGGGAGATGAGCAAGATGTGAAGGTACAAGAATAGGTCAGATCATTTTAGTAAAAATATGGCCAGGTGTGATGGCTCACACATGTAATCCCAACACTTGGGGAAGCTGAGTCAGAAAGATTGCTTGAGCCCAGGTATTTGAGGCCAGCCTGGGTAACATAGACCCCCATCTCTACAAAAAAAAAAAAAAAATTAAAATATTACCCAGGTGTGGTGGCACATACTTGTAATCCCAGCTACTTGGGAAGCTGAGGTGGGAGGATCACTTCAGCTCAGGGAGGAGGTTGAGGCTGCAGTAAGCCATGATCTTGCCACTGCATTCCAGCCTGGGTAAGAGAGCGAGATGCTGTTTCTCTCTCTCCCCCTTGACAGAGCTATCTGTATATAGATATATCCATCTATATGTATATATTAGATGTATCTAATATATATGTGTATATATATATCCAGATAGATAGGTATATTGATCTGTATGTATATATCAGATACATCTATCTATCTATATCCGGATATATAGATATATCTATATACAGATAGATATATTGAGAGAGAGAAACATCTGTTACATTTTCAGTCTGTGCTGGCCCTTGCGCTGTGCAGTTTGCATGCCTTTTCTCATCCATCCTTACAGTAACACTGTGAAGCAACACTAGTATTAACATTATCATCTCCTGTGGATGAGAAAACTGAGGCTTAAGTACATTTCCAAAGTCACAGAGCTAGTAATTGTTGGGTAAAGATTGAGTTCACTCTGCTAATCTCTAGAACCAAAATACTTGACTGCTGCACTGTTGTGCTGATGCATTATGAAGCTTTATTTTAGTGGCCATGGGAAGTGATAGGCTTTAAGGTGGGAAATACCTTACTCAGTATTTTATTTTAAACATAACACTTCGCTTGAAATTTGCAGGATGGCTTGGTAAAGGGTCATCTGAACTTCTTGGACTTGGTTATACAGTAATGTAAGTGAGAAATAATGAGAATTGTGAAGACCCAAATGGAGTAGGGTAAGGTGGGGATGGAGACCAGCTTGATAGGTAGTTAAAAAAGTAGAATACATAGTATTTGGTAGTCAATTTAGATATATGAGGTTAGAGAGATACCACCAAATATTCCAGGATAAGCTGGTTAGAGCAGAAAAGGGAAGGAAAGGTTGATGGCATAAGAGAGGGTTTGACCAGGAAAATGGTACATTCAGTTTTAGATCTACTGAGTTTGAGGTATTGGTAGGATGCCCAACAGGAAACTTGTAGAACTGAAAGATACTTACTTTGGTATTGAGAATAGATTACAGTATGTAACACAGTTAAGATGTCATAAAGGTGACGTTGATGAATGCAGGATAGCAAAAAGACTAAACAGCCCTGTGAAGTGTAATGTCATTATTATGGAAATCAATGGAGTGTGAGAGCAAAGAGAATTCAAAGGGAATTTTTAAAAACTAGTTTGGGGAGTAAGTTACTTATTTGCAAGTCCAGGAAATGAGTCGTTTCTATCTTAGACAATTACATAGATGTAATAAAAGACCTTTGTCCCTTCCTTAAAAGTCAACAGGAGAAGTTTGTTGCCAAGGGACTGTTGCCAGTAAAATAGTTTATAGACAGGTCATCTTTTCCATACATAAATCTTCTTCTAGATGTAGACAATAAACATATAGAAGAAATTAAAATACTCAATATATTTATGTGGAGAAATGTTTACTGTTAGTTGCATTAAATGCATTCTACTGTTTTGAACAATCCAACTAACAAAATAAAATGAACATGCTTTCATGATGGCAAAGATATGATGAAGGCACTTTTGTATGCTGCTTGGTGATAGCAGCATTTGGCCTGACCCTTCTGAAAAGCAACTTGGCAGTCTTTATTAAGGACCTTAAAAATATTCAGCTCTTTGACTGGACACTACTGCTTCTAGAGATTCCTCACCTTAAGTAAGCAATGATGTGGAAAAAGATTTTGATATAAAAGTATTCATTAATGTTATTTATAACAGTGAAATATTGGAAATAACTTCAATGTTAAAACTGGAAAACATTCAGATAACCAGTGTCTTAATACAGTGACTTAAATATTCTGAGAGACATCAGAGCATACTGAGAAGACCATGGCTTTAAAGCCCAATTCAATCGTTTATTAGATCTGTAACTTTAGACACACAGTTTGCTCATCTTTAATATTCTGAAAACATTAAGATTCCAAAAGAATTAAGTATATCATACTAAAAATACATGGTATGTTGTAATTGTTTATGTAATAGTTACTCTTACATATAGAACCATCAAAAATAGACCGGGCATGGTGGCTCACACCTGTAATCCCAGTACTTTGGGAGGCTGGGGCGGGTGGATCACAATATCAGGGGTTCAAGACTAGCCTGATCAATATGGTGAAACCCTGTTTCTACGAAAAATACAAAAATTAGCCAGTAATCCCAGCTACTGAAGAAGCTGAGGCAGGAGAATTGCTTGAACCTGAGAGGTGGAGGCTGCAGTGAGCCGAGATCATGTCATTGTACTCTAGCCTGGGCAACAGAGCAAGACTCTGTCTCAAAAAAAAAAAAAAAAGTATGAAGAATTTTTAGTGATACAGAAAAAGTTGATACTATGTAAAGTAAAAAGAACAGGTTTGGTATAGCCTATATGATCTCAGTTATGTTAACTATATTTGTCTTCATGCATAGGAAAAGTGATGGAAGGAAAACCATACCAGATGTTAACTGTGATTGTCCCTAAATGACAGAATCATTGATGGTTTTAAAAATTTCCCTTAAACACTTGTGCTTTTTTTTTTTTTCTTTTTTGAGACAGAGTCTTGCTCTGTCACCCAAGCTGGTGGGCAGTGACATGATCACTGCAGCCTTGAAATCCTGGACTCAGGCTATCTTCCCACCCCTGCCTTGCAAAGTGCTGAGATTATAGGTGTGAGCCACTGGGCCTGTCCCTGTGTGTGTGTGTTATACTTTTTTTTTTTTTTTTTTGAAAAAGCAAGTTGTCATTAAAAGGAAAAAGCTCACAGTCATTGACGTTCAAAGCATATTTGCTGTTTATGGAATTTTTCTTTCCTAGCAGACATAACTATCGAGTTTTAGGCTTAGGTATCGTTTACTTTGTTTTATGTGGCTTTACCTTTCATTGCTTACAGATAATATTGGAGCAAAAGTAATATGTAAGCAGAAAGTTATTTTGCTCTGAGTAGTATTTGTGTTAACTTATTCTAATTTTTAAAAATTGTGTGTGTGTGTGTGTGTTTTTTTTTTTTTTTTCCAGAAACAGCATTTAAATTTAAAGCCCTAAAGAAGGTTGCACAGTTAGCAGTTATAAATAGCCTGGAAAAGGTAAGTTACAACCTCTCTGGTATTAAAATTTTGTTTTTAGTGATAAAATTTGCTGTGTTCTCATCCTGCTTCAAAAAGTCATGACTTGAGTTATAGTAGTATCAGGTTAATTTTTAGGAAGGGTACATTGTAATATTACTATGAAGGAAGTCAGAAGCTTGCGACATTTATTGTATTACAAAAGATCACTGCTTTCATATAAACATGTGTTTCATTATTTATAGGCATTTTGGAACTGGGTAGAAAATTATCCAGATGAATTTACAAAACTGTACCAGATTCCACAGACTGATATGGCTGGTAAGGATAAAATTGATTTTTTTTTTTTTTTGGTCTTTTAAATGCCTGCTTGTGACATAGAAACCTATCATTTTCCAAGTTATTTTTGTTACAAAGATGGTTTTACATCTATTGTCACCTGGCATCAAATAGAAAATACTGTTTTTCTCTTACATTTCCAAATTACACCCAACCCATTTCCTTTCCTTGGAGCAAATAGATGAAGAAGTTTGAAATGAAGGTCAGATCTTTAGAGTTGTGTTGGGAGAGGATATTTGGCTCTTTCTTGTAGAGAAGCACATGCTCTGAGGCTTTCTTTTGTATTTAGGGAGATGTGTATAAAGTAGTAATATTCTTACTTATAATGTAAGAATTCTTAGGGACGCAACTGCAAAGCAGAGAATACAGACTCCTGGAGAACTTTGGTAATTCTCTTTGGGAAGCTGTTCAGTCTTTGTTGCTTGGGTACATCATACTTACATAAGGCCCTGCACAGTGAGACTGAATACATGATCATCCATTCTAAAATGTGGGCTTTTCCAGGATAGATCAAGATAGCTCTTCTATATAGACAATGTAACATTGGTTGCCTGCTTATCAGAATGCCTTTGTGAGGTTGCTTAAATGAAGTTCTATGTTTATCTTTTAAAAATCTTGCCTGTGGGTTTTTAGATAGTGTCAGCTTTTACTTTAATGCTGGGGATTTTGTTCTTATCTGATAATGTCATTTAATATATTTTTCATGTAGAATGTGCAGAAAAGCTATTTGACTTGGTGGATGGCTTTGCTGAAAGCACCAAACGCAAAGCAGCAGTTTGGCCACTACAAATCATTCTCCTTATCTTGTGTCCAGAAATAATCCAGGATATATCCAAGGATGTGGTTGATGAAAACAACATGAATAAGGTAAGAAGAGCAAAATTATTTCCATTATATCTAGATGCGAAGCAGTTTATTTTACTCAAAGTGTGTATTACCAAACTATTTTAGGGGACCATTTAAATTATCATTTTAGGACTCTTTGTTTGATAGACTTAGAAGAGACATACTCATACATGATTTTATTTGGCAGAGGGATAAATAATATCGCTCAATGATCAAAGATTTAAAATAATCCCTTTGTTTCATTCTTTTGTCTGAAAAAACTAAATAATAACTGTTACCATTAAGTGTAGTTTCTCTAATATTTACTGCAAGGATTGTCCCGCTTCACTTTATCACTTTTACAAAGTGTTATTTGCATGTACTTAGGTGTGTGTCCACATGTTGCTACTGAAAATTTTATTTATTTATTTAGAGATGGAGTCTCCCTCTTATTGCCCAGGCTGGAGTGCAGTTGCACGATCTTGGCTCACTGCAACCTCCACCTCCTAGGTAGCTGGGATTATAGGTGCCCGCCACCATGCACAGCTAATTTTTTGTACTTTTAATAGAGATGGGGTTTCACTATGTTGGTCAGGCTGGTCTCAAACTCCTGACCTCAGGCAATCCACCTGCCTCAGCCGCCCAAAGTGCTGGGATTGTAGGCATGAGCCACCACGCCTGTCAGAAATGATCGTTTTAGGTATTTTAGAACAGCTTTCACAGAATTTTGCCAGGAAGGTAAGGCTCTCACATATTCCATCTGTAGTGAAATTGGCACTATGACAACTGGTAATTCTGGGAGACTCTTAAAATTTTTTAAAAATAATCACCTTGGGCCGGGCTGGTGGCTCACGCCTGTAATCCAGGCACTTTGGAGGCCAAGGCCGGCAGATCACCTGAGGTCAGGAGTTCAAGACCAGCCTGACCAACATGGTGAAACACCATCTTTCAAAAAAAAAAAAAAATCACCTAAGGGATTGAAACAACAACAACAGAAAGAACCGTGTATTAATCTTATGGTTTTAGTGAAATTTCAGTATGCAGTTTATTTTGCAAATAAGTTTTTTTTCATTTTTGGCTGCTTTCGGAGAAATACTCTTAGCTGACTAAACATGAGATGGGTTCCTGCATGGTTTGCCCGTGGCTGGAGATGTTCAGAATCAGCTGAATGATTTATTATGTTGTACAAGTATTGGATAGGGAATTTATACATTAAAGGGTAAATAAATGAACCAGGTAATCCTTGAGAGTCTGTGATTGTGTGTTACTCCACTTAGGTGTATATCCCAACTTTTCCATTATGAGGATAACATTTTTCATGGTAGATTGTTTTGGAGCCCTTCAAAATAGGTGTGATGGTAAATACTGGCAACTGCCTCAGGGGAGGCCATCACTGTTGCCTCAGGCAGCGCAATCAACTTGATTGTATTGAAGGATACAAAGTATTGATCCTGGGTGTGTCTGTGAGTGTGTTGCCAAAGGAGATTAACATTTGAGTCTGTGGGCTTGGAAAGGCAGACCCACCTTTAATCTGGGTGGACACCATCTAATCAGCTGCCAGCATATAAACAGGCAGAAAAATGTGAAAAGATAGTCAGGCCTACCTTCCCAGCCTACATCTTCCTCCTGTGCTGGATGCTTCTTGCCCTCAAACATCAGACTCCAAGTTCTTCAGTTTTGGAATTCAGACTGACTCTCCTTGCTCCTCAGCCTACAGATGGCCTATTGTGGGACCTTGTGATGTTGTGAGTTAATACTTAATAAACTCCCCTTTATAATATCTATTCCACTAGTTCTGTCCTTCTAGAGAACCCTAATACAGATTTTGGTATAAGGAGTGGTTCTAGAGGAACAGAATATTAAGGATGGAGTTCTTTAGTTGGTTTGGGGGTTTCTGGAGTTGGCTGCTTAATATGGTTAGACCCAAAAATGCTAAGGACTCTACTCCAATAGTGTGGAGAACACTGATAATCAGCATGAACTGTTTAGAGAGTTATGCAAAATAAACGCATTTGACACTCCTGATTCACCGCTACTGAGAGGCAAGGATTTTAGTGCCTCTATACATAATGCCTTTGACTATATGTGGAGAACCAAGGAACATGATGAAGCTGGTTGGTTGCTCCTAAATTCAGTGTACAAAGGGATGAAAGAAAATGATGAATTCAGGGATTCTATGTCCTGGCTTCAGAAGCAGATACTGAGCCTCAAATCTGCTAAGATTGCCCTGAGTGAGAGTCTTATCTCCTGTAGCAAAATAACTGAAATTGTGGAAAAACAGATACAACTCTTATCATGCAAGTGGCAGACCTGCAACAAAAAGTGCATGCACAGCCTCGCCAGGTGTCTACTGTTACAGTGAGAGCATTGATTGGAAAAGAAGGGGACTCTGTGACTTAGAATAGGGACATGTGGGAGGATCCTGATGAAGCCAGGGACACTGAGCTTGTAAACGCTCATGAAGAAACAGCTTCCCCATCTCCAGTAGTGGCAACATCCTCTCCTGGAGCCATGTTGCCATCAGCCTTTCCACCTTTGTCTGAGGAGACAATGATGGCCTCCCCTGAGGCAGTTGCCAGGCAAAATAATGTTGATTTTCCTCAGGAGCCACCCCCAAGCTCCCTGTTTACTTCTAGACCTATAGCTAAAGTCCTGGCAGGCCCCTAGAGGTGAGGTTGAGAGTGTAACCCATGAAGAGGTGCACTACACATGAGAAGAACTGCTTGAGTTTTCTAATTTATATAAACAGAAATCTGGAGAACAGGCATGGGAATGGATATTAAAGGTGTGGGATAATTGTGGAAGAAACAGAGTTGGATTGGGCTGAATTTATTGATTTGGGCCCACTGAGTAGGGACTCTGCATATAATGTTGCAGCTTGGGGAGTTAAAAAATGTTCTAATAGATTATTTGCTTGGTTAGCTGAAATATGGATTAAAAGATGACCCACTGTGAGCAAGCTAGAAATGCCTGATCTCTCTTGGTTTAATGCAGAGGAAGGGATCCAAAGGCTTAGAGAGATTGGGATGGTGGAGTAGATTAGTCACTTTAGACCTCCTCCCAGCTGGGAGGGTCCAGAAGATATATCCATGACCAATGCCTTGTGAAATAGATTTGTGAGGGCAGCACCTGCATCTCTGAAGAGCCCTATAATTGCTCTTCTCTGCATGTCAGATCTAATTAGGTACCACAGTCACTCAACTACAAAATTTAAATACAGTGGAAATAATTGGATCCCGAGGTGGCAGGAGCCAAGTGGTAACACTTGACCATCAAAGGCAAGGTGGATGTAGCTACTGTAATGGATAGCACAGGCAAAGTGGCAATCAGAATAGTCTTACTCGTGTAGTGCTCTGGCATTGGCTAATTAATTACGGTGTTCCTAAAGATGAAATTAATAGAAAGCCTACTGCATTCCTAGTTAATTTATACAAGCAGAAAACTTCTAGGTCAAATGGACAGAAGACTAAATTGAATTATAAAAACAGAGAATCATGACCCCTCAATCAATTTTTAGACTTGAGCCAGTTTACAGACCCAGGAACCCTTGAATGAAGTGGGAGTTGGGTCCCTTTGAGGAAAGACCCCACTACATTACTGACAATTTATGCAGTGAATCTTTTCCCCATCCTTTCCCAAGGAGACCCCCCAGCCTTTTACCAGGGCAACTGTGCACTGGGGAAAGGGAAATGATCAGACCTTTCAGGGACTACTGAACACTGGCTCTGAGCTGACAATGATTTCAGGGGACCCAAAATATCATTGTGGTTTTCCAGTAAAAGTAGGGGCTTATGGAGGTCAGGTAATTAATGAGGTTTTAGATCAGGTCCGACTTACAGTGGGTCCATGGGGTCCCTGGACTCATTCTATGGTCATTTTCCTAGCATCAGAATGCATAATTGGCATAGACATACTTAGCAGCTGGCAGAACCCCCACATTGGCTCCCTGACTGGTAGGGTGAAGGCCATTATGGTGGGAAAGGCCAAATGGAAGCCATTAGAGCTGCCTCTGCCTAGAAAAGTAGTAAATCAGAAACAATATCCTGGATATCCTACATCCCTGGAGGGATTGTGGAGATTAGTGACACCATCAAGGACTTGAAAGATGCAGGGATGGTGATTCTCACCACATCCCCATTCATCTCTCCTGTTTGACCTATGCACAAGACAGATGGATCTTGAATAATGACTGGATTATTGTAAGCTTAATCAAGTGGTGACTCCAATTGCAGCTGCTTTACCAGATGTGGTTTCATTGCTTGAGCAAATTAACACATCTCCTGGTACCTAGTATGCAGCCATTGACTTGGCAAATGCCTTTTTCTCCATTTCTGTCCATAGTGCCCACCAGAAGCAATTTGCCTTCAGCTAAGGTAGGATATACCTTTACTGTCCTACCTCAGGGGTGTATAAACTCTCCACCTTTGTGTCATAATCTTATTCGAAGAGACCTTGATCTCGTTTTCACTTCCACAAGATGTCACACTGGTTCATTACGTTGATGGTATTATGCTGATTGAATCCAGTGAGCAAGAAGTAGCAAACACACTGGATTTATTGGTGAGACATTTGCATGCCAAAGGATAGGAAATAATTCCGACTAAAATTCAGGGACCTTATACCTCAATAAAATTTCTAGGGGCCCAGGGGTGTGGGGTCTTTTGAGACACTGCTTCTAAGGTAAAGGATAGTTTGTTGCATTTGGCTGCTCCTACAAAAAAGAAAGAGGCACAATGCCTAGCAGACCTATTTGTATTTTGGAGGCAACATTCCTCAATTGGGTGTGTTACTCTGGCCCATTTATCCAGTGACCCAAAAGGCTGCCAGTTTTGAGTGGGGTCCAGAACAGGAGAAGGCTCTGTACCAGGTCCAGGCTGCTGTGCCACTTGGGCCATATGAACCAGCAGATCTAATGGGGCTTGAAGTGTCAGCAGCAGAGAAGGATGCTGTTTGGAGCCATAGGTGAATCACAGCGGAGGCCTCTAGGATTTTGGGGCAAGGTCCTGCCATCTTCTGCAGATAACTACTCTCCTTTTGAGAGA